ATATGCTCCTATTTAAATGAAACCAGGTATTTGCACAGGAGAGGTAACAGCTTGCATTTACACTGAAATACATTTTAAGCTCATAACTACAGTTATTGTGTTGTATTAGGCTATAAAAGCCTTTAAAATGTAGGTAGCCACAACTCAATGCTGTTCCCAAAAGCCTCCTGTGTGACACAGATGGAGCTGAAGTACTGCTCATGACCTCTGTGTAGATACAGCTTTGTCTTCTACAGTTCTCAGTGTAATATTTATGGGTTCTGGACAGTTGATCAGACAAAATAAAACATTTTTAAATATTACCTTCAGCACTGGGAAACATTTAGGGGCATTTAATTATGTTTTTTTTATTTTCTGACAATTTACAGATGACATAATTAATGAATGAATCAAGAAAATCATCAGCATATTACCTGCTAATTAAACCCTCTGTTTTCACATTGATTCATCAAAATACCATCATATAGATGTATTTAGAGACCTAATTTTCACACAGCCACGACTCAGCCTTGCTGCTAATTGTTCCCAGTGGCCAATCGTGGTATGACAACAAAGAAAAGCATCTTGCAGGGGTCCAGAAAACGTTTTTGCAACGATTATAAAAGAGACAGGTGTGAACTTGTCAATGGGACACCTCTAACTTTAAAGAAGGACTGATTTACCTTTTCTATCATTCATTTTTAATCTTCGAAGGTTTTATATTTTAAAACAAGCAGTTGACATTCAAGTGAGCAGCTGCCATGTTTGAGTCTGGGCTTCACTTTTTACTGTACATCATGACATGGGTACAAGAGCAACAGACTCTGAACAACAACCCACACTAATTAGCTTTCCTGCTTAACTAACTTCAGCTCACATGTTGTCCTGCACCTTAGCTTGTTTAACAAGTAACAAAACCATCATTCACCAGAGAAACATATACCAGTAATGTCAGTGTGCAGGCGAGTTTGTTAACTAACTCAGCTGTAGCAAATTAAACTGGACGTGAACACACATAGAAATGTTTTGGTGCATTTATCTGCTGTCTGCCTGTAAGTTTTGCACTACAGGGCAGATATGTTTACTTTGTCTTTGAGGCCTGGTCTGCACCTCACATAGGTAATTGTTAAAGCTACGTTTTTCCTACTTTGTTCTCGAAGAAACTTTGTACATGAAAACATAGAAACATAATTAAAGTGCTGCCAAGTGCATGCCAAACCAGTGGCGCTGTAATCCTAAAGTCATGTTGGCCAATTAGAAGCTTAAAAAAAGGATGGTTTCAGTAGACTACTAATAATGGTGCATTGAGGAAGTCAAGCATCAAATGCTTGAACTTATTCTACGTTCTGTTCCTCAGTATAGTGCAAGAGCTGTAAATGTGTGTGTAGACATGTAAAAAGTCCCGTTAAGAAGGTTAGCACTAGCATTATTTTGGCCACGTAAGCACCTCATGAACAAAGGAAATAGTGACGCACACTCTGACATTACCAGCCAAAAATAACAACACTGCAAAATGCATAATCAGAAGCTCTGAGTATCTTTACCCTGAAAGTTTTCCAATATGTTTCAGTGACCTAAAACTGCGTTGTGAAAGACCAAAACACAGAGAAAAATCTATGTTTTTAAAAAAAATAACCTTAGACCTTATTGTCCTAATGGAGCTCAGGCTACTGTCAGTCAAACACAGACACTTACATTTTCCTGAAAGATCTTTTTTTGTTCCTTTTAATAGTATAAAAGCTATTAATACTAAGAACGACGGTTAAATCATTCTGACTGCAAAAAGGGATGATTAATGAGATTTCAGCTGAACTTCAGAGTTACTTTATCTTCCTAATATTCAAACAGAAATGTATTTTACTCTTTGAACAGGGTGGCGAGTAATTAATTACTTACTAATTAATAACACTGACATGTCTGTTTATAGTAATATATTAAAACCTGATTTTTAACACTCAAACCATGGGGTGGAAGTCTAGTTGACAAGCAGACTACAGAACAGAGCATTGTGTCTGCAGGAATATTTACATATTTTGCATTAACAAGGAAGAATTCATTTCCAGTGAGCAAATTGCACCCTCATTTTTGACACATGAATCCTCCTGAGGAATCTAAATCCTGGTCATAAAACATGTTCTTGCATGGCACTGAATGTACATTGACTTTTTGATTTAGGCCCAAGTCATTTACTGTACTTAATTTTGTACAAGCGCAAATTTAAACAGCAGCTCAAGCATTTTAGTTACCTTACACAAATAGTCATTGCTGCATTGTCTTTTAACTCTAGTTTTATATGTAACAAAGACATTATAAAATCATCACCACACTCTTAAATGTTTGTCATCATTTCAGCTGTTATTTGTATCACTGAAGTGGCATTATCGTGTAGATTATGTGACAATCCTTGTATAAGCTCCACATCATACTCGACATGTCTGAAAGAAAGAAATGAACAAAACCGAAACAGAAAACTGAAGCCACCCTAGTATTGCTCTCACCATAGCAGATTAATCAGCCACAGTTTCAGTGGTTTATTTCCCAGTCGTCAACAGTGGCCACTTTATCCACAATGAAGAAAGACAGTAAAACATTCCTGTGAAAGCTTTTGTTTTATTCTTCTGCAATGTATTTATGGACCATTTAATGTTTGTTCTGTTTTTGAATGGTAATAGTGTACTTTACATGATTTAAATCTGGGGAGTTTTGTTCCAGTTTTACTTGAATTGATTGATGATTACATCTGTAATCTAAATTTGTTTGATACAATAAAATGTTTAAATTGGTGATTGGTTATTTTATTTGCATGCTTATCCATTTATTAATTTTACAACAACCCACTCCAAGTAAAGACTTGTTTGACAGTTAGTGTCAGCATGAATAAACCAGGTTCTGCATTTCTGGTAAAATGCCAAAAAAAAAAAAAAGAGGAACTTTAGTGGAAAGCCTCCAAAAACTTCAACTTATCCTTGCACGACTTTCGATGCGTTTAGCTGAGGTTGATTTTGACTTTACACTAAAAATAGGCACTCTGTCATTAAATAATTCAACATGTTCAGTGCCGAGAGCATAAAAACACATACATTTTTCATAAACATAACAGGATTTCACAAATACATTTTGTAACACTGCAGCAGCTTAAGCTACACTTGATATGTGTACAGACTTTTACAGCTGCCTTTTAGGGTGATGTAAGACAAACTATGGTGTGACACAATATCTAAAGTATGATATTTTACCACTATTTTAGCCCAGGGAGGGATGTCTTCTAAATTAGGTAACAAATCTTTAACATCATTTTTATTTGTACCACACCTATTAATCATATGAAAGATCGGTGTAACTTTAATATATTTACTACTGTAAAATGGAATTATTTTCATATGCATGTTGTGGTGCAAGTGTAAATTATGCACATTTTGCTGAGAAGTAACAGAACTGCATGTTCAGAGGTTGTTTATTAATTTACAGTCTAACTCAAATGTAATAATTTTGCACCTTGTGATAACTCAGAGATGGAATTTTAAAATGCTTAGCTGACAAATGTTAAAATAAGAAACCGGATTTGAAGCTGAGTCCTCTGGGCAACCCTGGAGCTAAGTGTGCCATTACTCTACAGCCCCTCCTGCTGGAGGAGCAGAGAATTCGATCCAGGCAAGAGCCGGCTTTTTAAGGGAATCTTTAATACTGTGCATGTTGAAGTCAAACGTCTAATAAAGGAAACTTTATAGTTGCACAACAGGAAGTGTAGTATAAATGCATTTAAGTGGATGTGGTGCGTCACCCATTTTATCGTACTACAGTACTAAAAGTTGGCCTACTTCAATAGTTTACATACTTAAACAATTTGTTGCCCGGAGAGCCACTTGACAGGTTCAGTTATATTTTTTGTAAATTTATTGACACATATAAAAAAAATAAATGTTCTCTTAAAAGGTACTAAAAGACTGATTTTGGTAGATATGCCTCATGCTTTTATAAATATGGATAGATATGACATTTCTCTTATGTTCTACTGCTTTTTCAACGTTGGCTCCACTTTTTGGATTTCAGTAGCAACAAGCTTTACTTCTTATTGTCAAGCATGCATTTAGTAAAGGGTCCTAAAATGGGATTTAAAGTATTTAAACTGTTACCTTCTAAATGAAAATGTACGGTGTTGTTGTTGTTTGTCAGGAAAATGCAAAGCATCTCTTGCAATAATAATAATAATAATAATAATAATAATAATAATAATAATAATAATGCATTATACTATTGTTTTTATTTTTGGTTAGTTGGTTTGGTAGAATAGGGTAATGAATTTGCTTAAACTTATTTCCAGACTTAAAAGTGGTTTAAATGATGCAAGACAAGCAACTGGTTTTAGACAAAAAAAAAAAAAAACACTGTATCCCTCCAAAATAAAAGGTCAGCCTTGAAATGATTTACCAAACTCAAAAATTGCATTTTTTTTAAGGTTTAATGCAGGGTTAAATGATGGGTGTACAATTCAAACAATAAAAGGTAAAACACTCCTGTTGTTGTGTTTAGGTGGCAAATTAAATTAATGACATGAACCATTCTGCATAACATGACCAGCATGTACACTCTGCATTTAAATTATTGTCAAATACTACACTTAAAGTAAGACATGAGAACATTTCTGTGATTACACTGCATCTTACCTGTTAGTCTGAACCCATCCCTCCCTCCCTTCTCCTCCATCTCTCAGGTATTAGAGTAAAAGGCAGATTGTGATATTGTTACAAAAAGTGACTCACAGTAACCTCAGTTAACTTTTGTAGATATGCTAGGAAACAAACACATATTACAAATGGAGTCCTGTCTACTGTTGTGTATCTGTAGTGGGGTTTTGCAGTGATTTTTCTGACGGCACTTCTTGTCTGGATCGCTGTTCTTTTGTCACACTGGGGTCTGAAAATCCTGGAGGAGATAGAAGATTGGAAAAGGCATTGGAAAATGTAGTTAAGCTAAAAGGAAAACAATATCTGTGTCTGTTAATCTCAACATGAGATCACTCTAAAATGAATTTAGATAACAAATCAAATCAAGGGAACTGAGTACATTTGTGGAGCAAAGAGGCTTTGTCTCTGCCAAATCAGTCACATATCTTGACAGAATATCTTTAATTTTCTTTTAGCAGAGGTTGTCAACTTTTCACGGTTGCTCATTTGGAATTTGAATTGTTGCAAAAGTATAACCATTTTTCAAGATTGTTATTAAGAACTGCAGTGAATATGTTCGATATGTGACTATAAATACAGTGTTACAGTACACTGACTGCATCAGGGAAATTTGGTTATGTCTAAATTTTGTTCACGTCTTTCATATTTTACTAGAAGTAGATTTTACACAGCACCTTCTTAACAAAGACAAATTAATATACAACACACCATTCGAGCCACTTTCCTTCCACTTGAGCTTGTTGTCTTCAGTGTGTCGTGTCCAAGTGGAGCGAAAGCTCACCAGCTCAGCCGTGATGTGAGCGAGACTCCACTGCAGGCCTCTGGAGCTCTCCTTCCAAAGATTACTATTGAGAAATAACAGGATTCTTTGTACAGACGTTTATTTCCCCACAGGATGAATCCTAATGACTGCTGGCATTCTCTGCCTTTTCATCTAGTGCCCTCAGTAGGTCAATCATTTTTGTCTTGTGTTGTAAATTATCTACAAACAAAACATAATTTTGTACAGACATTCATAGTTCCCACATGATACATCCTGATGACTTCAGTGTTCTATCCTGTGCCACCATCAGGTTTGCCTTTGTGGCTTAGGGTGAAATGTCTTGACAATGATTGGATAGATTGTCTTTAAATTCGACATAATCTGTTTTTTATAATCTGTTTTGTTCCCCTCTGCATTAACTATAACAACTTGGTGGTCTATTCACCCTTAAATCTAAGGTCAGAATTCTAGGTTTAAAATGAATTAAATCAGTTTAGGTAGCAACACAAAAAATGCACCCCACAGTAGGAACTCAATGCAAAATGTTTTTTGGATGCTATCTATTGAGCTGTCACTGAAACTTTGATTTCCACTGATAGTCCGAGTGCCAAGTCTGAAGCACTTGCCTGTTTGTTTTTCACACCTAGATTTTGCAAGAACCACACTGTCCATGGTGTCATTTTATGAAGACAGCCACTGCAGCACTGATAAGTGGTAGTATGGCTTGTTCCATACTTCCTGATTGCCTCTCTTTAATACAGGTGTATTCACTTTTGTTGCATTGATTATCTACTTTGGGGTCTGTATTTTTAATGCAGCCTTTCAAAAGTATTTGTTTTTGGTTGTTAATTAAGAGAAAATATTCTAATTGTCAACTAAGAAATAATGTAATTATTAAAAGTTGATGAATTTTGAAATATTTTACATTGAAGGGATTTTGCACAGAGGTGTTCTCACTTCTGTTGTATACTCATACTGTACCATGTTAGCATTAACATTTAGCATCTCAGTTCTGTCATCACATGTCTCTTGTCAGTCTTTAACATCTTCTGTCATATCTAAAACCAAACATGTAATAAAGCATATTTTTCCAACAGGTATCACAGCGGTCAGTTGTTGTCCATGTGTTTACCTGTGTCTGTTGCAGGGGTCAGGTGGACCCGGGTTCTCTTCCACCAAAGGAATAACAATCTTCTCAGCCATGTCCGTTAGCAGAGAGAATGTGGGATACAAAATGAAGTCTATAAATCCTGCAAGAACAAATGTCACTGTATCAACATGTAAAAATAGGATGTTATTCAGCCGTACAAGCATGAACTTTGCCATACAGTTTCTTTTACTTCAGTTAGCAACTTGAAGAGCAGTGCTGAGACTTAGGTAATATGATCTAACATTATATATATATGTGTGTGTGTGTGTGTGTGTGTGTGTGTGTGTGTGTGTGTGTGAGTGTAATTAGCACAATGCTTTTGAATGAGACAAAGAGAACCGGGGTAAACATAAACACCTTTTTTTCTTATTTGTGGAGGAAAGATGACTATTAACTGGATGTTTTAAAAACCTGAGTTAAAGAAACAGGATGTAGAGAGTGCTATGTGAGACATACCAATCTGGGACTCGGCTACAAGGGTGCTTTTTCGATCACACAGCGGAGAGAAGGGCAGGCCGAGCTCTGCCTCTCTATCACCCTCACAAAGATAGGAAGAGAGAGAGAAGATACTTAAAGGGAATCCCACACATTGCCTGAAAATAACTTCTTAAAGGTTATTTCACTCAAACTCTCACCACCAGATACTTTTAGGTTGTTCAAATAGCACAGTGTGAGTGGTTTTGTCTTTTTAAAGTAGCAAAACAAACATTTGATCACATCTTATTTTCGAAGCGAGTAGGACTGTTCAACACCTCTTCAATTCTGCTTCTTTTTGAAGTCCAGGCAGAGAAAATAAAGTGGGAGCAACCTATTGCTGCATTTACAGCAAATCAGCTCAATCCAGTAGCACTAAAAAACAGTCATTGGTGTCGTTACCTTTTGGCAAATCTCAGTGAGCATTTTCCCCTATGCATACATTGCATCAAAGTACCGTTTTTAAAAAGTAACATCTATATTGTTCTATGAAAGCTGCAAACCTGCATCTGCTGACGAAGCTCAAGTGATCTGATCGAAAGTTCCAGAGTAGTTAGTAAATAGCCCTTGAGCTATGCTACATGTGCTGCTCCCAAAGGTCAGTCAGTGCATAATCCATCTTGAGTTTTGTGAGATTTTAGGGCAACAACATAATTTCAACAACATCAGCTGCTTTGCTACATGTCTGGCTCAACTGATTCTTGAAATGTTTTCCAGAGTTAAATCTTTTTTTTTTTTTTTTTTAATCTGAGCTTGTAAGATCCTTTCTGGCTCTGACACTTTTGACGTCTAAGTAATGTACAACTCTTCAAAGAGATTTTCCGTCTCTGACTGTCTCTGCTTCATACCTTAGAGGCTATTTATGTGGTTTTCCTTAGCACTGACATAATAAACCCTCTTTGAAGGTTCCCCACTCTCCCTTTCTGAAATAGATGAGCCATTTACAAAACTGTTGCACTGCTATTAGATGTCTATTTTTTTGACTCATCAGTCATGCTGAGATAACACCAGATCAAACCAGTCAGATAAGAATAGAAGAAGACAGGACATTAATAGTGGATGTGATATGAGGTGAGAAATAAAATACTTTTCTTTACATTTTAAATTTGCATGTATTCATGTGGCAGATTATTTTAGCAAATTTGGTGAGTAAGTAATAAAGCACAATCAAAGCAATGGGAGATGAAGGAGAAGCTTCTAAAACTAAGAGCTCCACTTGATGGAAGTGAGGACTTTCAATTGAATGAATTGTAAATGCATTTTTTGAAAAGAAAAGGATCAAGGAGAAAGAGAGAGAGATAACATATTAATTGAATAATCTTGGAGGGATGACTGCAAACAAAGGAGTTCTGATGACTAAATCAGGTGAAATGAGGACTAGATGTCACTGATTTGCTGACCATAGCAAATGACAAAGCTCAAAAACTTGTACATTGGTTGTGCAACTTCATCTCTACACCAGCAACAGTGAGGAACCAGCAGAGAGATAATGAAAAATAGAGCCACAGGGTGAAACTGCTGGCCTGTTCAGAAACTGGTCCTGCACAATTACACTTAGCTTTTATACAAAGAAAAGGAACAAGATGCAATTTCTTAGATTTTCACATCGATCGATTCTGTCATTGTTGGAGAGAGCAAGTCAAAACTCTATAATTGCCATATGACAATGGTATCGATCCTGTCATCTCACTATGCACTGCAGCATTATAGCATTCCAATTTAACTTCTGTTGCACTTGAACACATTCTTGAACAAAAATTTAAGCACAGGAACTTGAAGTAAGACAGGAAAAGAGAAAAACAAAAAAGAGAGAGAAGCAAAAGTCACACTGGCAGGTCAGGTCTATCAAAGTGCCTACCTGCCTGAAAAACTCCTCCATCAGGGCTTTGGTCCAGCGAGAGTGCAGTGCCCAGGGCTTGGATGGATGGCTAATGTCAGCCGTGTGCAGTAACAGAGACAGTGCTTTGGGCTTGTCAATCCTGTTGAAGAAAGCATAATGCACTTCTTGTTGTTGTGACTCCAGACATGTCTGAAAAACAGACCTAACATCACCCAGCCTGACATTGTTTTGCCAATTTACCGGCAAAAAGAGCTCTGAACACTTGCTAAATGACCTCTCAGTTGTGTACCACGGTGTGAACAACAGCGCAGGGCTTGAGCATTACCGTTCTTGTTGTTGTAGACAGGATTTCATCGCTTTGACTTGGAGTAGGTGGGAGGACATGTCGGTGGCCAACACCATCTCTATAACAAGTGATCGCAACTCCCTTTAAACAAACACACGCACAAAGATACACAGTTTACTACTTGACCTTGCATGATGGGGGGAAAAAACTGCGTGGAGTAAAAAGGGCAAGCAGGAAGACTCAGTCCGGATGGATTTTCCTGTTCCCATGGTAACACTGACTGTCATTACAGTATGCTGCTGGTGTTTATCTCTGGTGATATCTGCAGAGCTCTTCTATGAATAACACAGTCACATACTGTGTCCATCATATATATATATATATATATATATGTGTGTGTGTGTGTGTGT